GAGCTTGCATGTAAATACTGATGGTTGCTAGTTTGGTTTAGTTACAGTTCAGTAACTTCTGCTTCTGTTGCTAAAGGAGGTCTAGTGACACTATTGTGCTGTGAAATTATGGATATTCCCAGATTCAATGTACTGGGTGGATTGTGTCCTGGTAAGGGACGCCAAGGACAGGTATCTTCAGAAAAAAAAATGTTTCCGGAGGCTGTTGCAAAAATGGTGCTGTTTTCCAGTTCATCTTGAAATAAATCTCATGCCCGAACCATCCATCACTGTTAAATCCTGGAGCACAAATTGGGATAATGTGGCTGAGCCCAGGCGAGGGCTGCGGTTCTGTCTGCCTGCGCAGCGGAGAGACTGAACTGCTCCTCCCTTGGGGAAAAACCATGGATAATTTCCTGGCTCGTGCGAGAGGGCAGCCTGCAGATGGGATGCGAGAGGCGCGCAGTCGATTGCAGCCAGGAAAAAGTGACACATCTGTTTTGGCTTCGGGTCGCTCGGGAGCAGCAGCAGCGGTGCCCCGGCGGAGCTGGGGGGCAGAGGGGCATCCAGCCACTTGGACCTTTGCTCTGACAGTTTATGTTGTGTGTGTAATTGTCACTGAAGGGCACCGGGCACATGAAGCTGGGATCTGAGAGTTGTTAATCCTGAAAATCCAGGACATAACTCTCCTTATTTTCAGTACAGGGTCTGTCTCAGAAGCAAACTAGAGACACAGGTAACTATAAATTTAAGGGCTCTTTTTCCAGAGTGTTCCTGTTCCTTAGAGCCACTTGAGCAGGATGTGCTGGCGTGGGAGAAGATTGGGTGTTCTTTGAGCATTGATGTGGTGTGTATCCCAAATAGGAGCACTGCAACTTCTTTATAGAATCATAGAATCATAGAATTGCCCAGGCCAGAAGGGACCTCCAAATGTCATCTAGTCCGACCCCCCCGCAGTCAGCAGGGACACCCCCAACTAGACCAGGTTGCCCAGGGCCTCGTCGAGCCTCACCTTGAATATCTCCAGGGATGGGGCCTCAACCACCTCCCTGGGCAACCTGTTCCAGTGCTCCACCACCCTCACAGTGAAGAACCCTCTCCTCATCTCCAGTCTAAATCTGTTCCCCTCCAGCTTAAAGCCATTGCCCCTCGTCCTGTCACTACAGGCCTTTGTAAACAGGCTCTCCCCAGCCTTCCTGTAGGCTCCCTTCAGGTACTGGAAGGCTGCTATTAGGTCTCCCCAGAGCCTCCTCTTCTCCAGGCTGAACAACCCCAGCTCCCTCAGCCTGTCCTCGTAGCAGAGGTGCTCCATCCCCCTGATCATCCTTGTGGCCCTCCTCTGGACCTTCTCCATCAGGTCCATGTCCTTCTTATATTGAGGGCTCCAGACCTGCACACAATACTCCAGGTGAGGTCTTACCAGAGCAGAGCAAAGTGGAAGAATTACCTCTCTGGACCTGCTGGCAACGCATCTTTTGATGCAGCCCAGGATGAGATTGGCCTTCTGGGCTGCCAGTGCCCTCTGCCTGCTCATGTCCAGCTTCTCGTCCACCAGCACCCCCAAGTCCCTTTCCTCAGAGCTGCTTTCTAGTACCTCATCCCCCAGTCTGTGCTGATGGTGAGGATTGTTCCGGCCCAGGTGCAGAACCTCGCATTTGCTCTTGTTGAACCTCATGAGGTTCACCTGGGCCCACCTCTCCAGCCTGTCCAGGTCCTTTTGGATGACATCCCATCCCTCTGGTGTATTCCCTTTAGGAATGTGTGGTTTCCAAACAGTTGGATAAATTTCTCTGTGTGGTACACGCAGCGATGGTAAACCTGGTGGATTAGCTCTTCTGGCCGGCTCTGAGTTTCTTCTTCATGTGAAGCACGTCCCCCGCCTTCCTGGTTCTTAGGGAAGGAACGGCACAGACCGGCTGTGAGTGGGCTGTGATGCAGGGCAATTCAGGTGTAAAGATTGATGTCAAGCAGCCGTGATGCCTTGGCTTCTTTCTAACTGGAACAGGAAAATTAGACCTGAGCAAATTCATCGCAACAGCTCGAACAAGCGTAGGCGCTGTTGTTGGGGTAGAACAGAGCAACAGTCACCAGTATAGAGCAGTGCCAGTGCTTCAGGGTGGTATCTCAGAAATAATGTGGTGGACAATTGTAGGATACTTGTCCCTGTCAGGTGGGGAGTGAGTGCTTGTGCCCTATACCAACGATGGTACACCAATGATGGTTGTGCTCATCTTTTTTAAAAATAGTGTCTCCCCACCACAAGTAGCTTCATGTTCACTGTCTTTGGATGTTCAGTGACTTCTTGGGCCCCTCACCACAAAAAAAGACATTGAGGGGCTGGAGAGGGTCCAGAGAAGGGCAACAGAGCTGGGGAGGGGTCTGGAGAAGTCTGATGAGGAGAGGCTGAGGGAGCTGGGGGGGTTCAGCCTGGAGAAAAGGAGGCTGAGGGGAGACCTTCTGGCTCTCTCCAACTCCCTGAAAGGAGGGTGTAGCCAGGGGGGGTCGGTCTCTGCTCCCAAGTCACAGGCCATGGGACAAGAGGAAACGGCCTCAGGTTGCACCAGGGGAGGTTCAGATTGGAGATGAGGAACAATTTTTCCATGGGAAGGGTTCTTAAGCCTTGGAATGAGCTGCCCAGGGAAGGGGTTGAGGCCCCATCCCTGGAGGGATTTCAAAGCCGGGTTGCCATAGTGCTTAGAGCCATGGGTTAGTGATGGGTTTTATCAGAGTGAGGTTGATGGTTGGACTGGATGATCTGAAAGGTCCCTTCCAACCCAGACAATTGTATGATTCTTGTCACTCGCTGGCAGAGACCTTTCTGCAGGGTTCTGGTGGGAGAGTGAGCGGTGGTGGGACGAACAAGGGGCTTCCCACCACTTGTATAGGAGATCCAGAGCTCTGATGCTCTGCTTTCAGAAGCCCCAACTGCTAGTACTTGAAGAGCAACGCCTGGTGACAAGAGGTGGCTGTATGGACTTGTACAGCCAGGAAAGAGATAAAATTGTGCTTATAATTATTAAATAGCGAGATGGCCAATGAGCTGCTGTGACAGAGATGCAGGGCAGCTCTCTTCAGGCCAAGGCACTGACTGCGGGAGACTCTACTTTTTTGCTGTGGAGCCTTGGTTACCCTGGCAACCTGGTTTTAGCTGGATCTGTGCTCCGGTGGAGAGCCCATCTGTACCTGCTACTTCTTTGTTTTGAAACTGGTCTTTTACAGAAAAATATCTGACAGGAGTATTTCCAGAGCTGGATTATTGCGGAATCCAGGCTCTGCTTTTGGTCCCAGGAGTTTCAGTCTGATGAATGAGGTGATGATGGGATGGGGAGTTTTGTGGCTGGATTGAGAAGGTATTAATGTAATCTGCTTCGTGAGGTGGGTCACAGAAGGGGGAGATGCTACTGCTGATTGTTAAATCCTGGAATAGCTCTGAAAAATAAATCACTTGCATTTCTGCAGTTTGCAGAGAACTTTGCTCATTCTGGTTTGCAGTTCAGCATCAACCCACCACCTGGGAGATGCAAGTGAAGTGGCTTCTGTCTGCAGTGAATAAATACCCACACCAGGGCCATAGCCTTCCCTTTTGGGGGCATGTATAAACTTTTGATAGTCCTGCTGAACTGCCAGTGTTGGAAGGTGGTGGTTGCAGGACTGTATTCAGAATTGGACAATTTAGTTTAATTCCAAATTTTACCAATCTCTTCCCATCTGTCTTTTTACTATAGGTTTTTTGGTTTTACCTTTTGTGAATACTTTGTAATCCTGAAGGGGTGTGTGTGTTTCTAAATTTTGCCCTCACTTCATTTCTCTTCCCTGTGCTTTACCTCCTCCAATTTCACAGCCTGGACCTTTGGGCTGAGATGAATGCTCTGTTCTGTATTCACTGTGGGGTTCTTCCAAACTGGAGTTGGTTTTCTCCCAGGTTGCTGGGTGGTGTGTAACACTTGTGTAACAGTGGGAGTAAGAACAGATTAAAAAATTCTAGTTGTAGCTAGAGGAAATGGGAGTATTGCCTGGCATCAGGCTGTTAGAAGCAGTTATTACCTAGTAGGTAATACAGGACCTTTTTTAAAGTCTGTATAGCGTTCCAGCTGGACTTTACAGGCCATCTAATTCAGATGTTTTAAGTCTTGAAATGTGCTGACTTCAGAGCAGAGAGCACATTAAGAGTCTGTTCTAGGCAAGCATCAGCTTTCAGTCCTTAGTGGCTCTAATGCAGAAGAAAAGAGCTTTCCTTTTTGAAATTTTTAAGTACCAGAAGAAACAATATCAAGCACTTCCCATTGTATTTAAGTGTATGGAATGCAGTTGTTTATTGTAAAGTCTGTTTGATTAAAGCTCTTTCAGCCAATCTTTTTGTTAATTCCCACTACCACTAACTGATTTTGGGTGGTTACAGCAGGAGCTTTTGTTGTTTTCTGAAGACAGGTGTGAACCAGATCTGTAGTCTTTGTCGCACAGCCCTAGATAACTGACACAATAAAGTACTATATCCTGCCTCCCACCGTTGCAGCAGCATTGACAGAGAGCTACAGAAAAACTATGCCATGGGTTTTTGTTATTTTTTTTCTTGCCTTTTTTTTTTAAACTGCATGTATCAACAAGAGTGACAGTTTGGGGCTGAGTACACATACATCATGTCGGTGATGTGTGAAGCAGGAAAGAGACGGTGGGATTCTCCGAGCCTTGCAACCTCCAGGCTCTCTACAGGATCTGGCAGATAGAAAAAAGTCTCCTGTGAGCTGTCTAAGCTAATGAGAGACTTGCCTTGAGCCTGAGCACATCTGATTGGGAAGTCAGTGAAGAAGAGTAAATGTGGGACAGGAAAATAGCTGTCACTTACTTGTCCAGCCACAAAAAAACCCAAACCCACATGTAAATCGATATATTTCTGAAACGTGAGCAGCTGGCATTTAGGTTAGTTTATACTACATAATGAAAATGTGTTTGTATTTAAGTGACTTGTTGAGAATGGCCTTGCTTTTAATTTTATTTTAAAAATGCATATTATTTTCTCCTAGCTTTGATCAACTTGTTGAAGTTCCTCATGTCTAATGAGACTGTGTTGCTGGCCAAGCACAACATCTTCACCCTTGCTCTTATGGTGAGTACAGACAAAGCAATTCCCCTTATTTTAAACAACTTGATTAATCTTGAATGAATCTTAGGAAAGAATCCAGGATTTCTGGCCTGGTAAGGAGATATTAGAACAAGGCCACAAAGCTGAGGAATATCGTTGTGTTGGTTTTGGTAGATGTGTGGAAAGGGTGATGCTTGGACTCACTTGTAGGGTCTGTTCATTGAAATAAACAAGTCTGGGTGAGGAAAGGCTTAGTTTAATTTTCCAAATGTAGTAATGCTTTTTCTCTTTCTGTGGCCCTTTATATACAAAATAATAGAAACCTGTTTTCCTGTCCCCAGATACAATAGCATTTAAGCTTTTTGTCTGCCTCTTGTGTAGTATAAGGAAAATAAAAGATAAAGCAATGAAGCAATATAATGCTGTGTAATGCAACTAAGAGTTAGTTCTTTGAGGGTTTTGGCCATAGTTTGTATTATTTCCGTTGCGGAGTAGATTTTACATGAATATTCCTGTTGTAACTTCTTTTCACTTTCTTGTGTAGGTTGTGAATCTCTTTAACATGTTCATCACTTACGGAGACACCTTTCTCCCCACTCCCAGCAGCTATGATGAGCTGTATTATGAAATCATTCGGATGCATCAGAATTTTGACAACCTTTATTCCATGGGTGAGTACCTCCTGACTGGTCAGGAATATTGCTCACTAGAAATGAGGGTGATGCTGGAGGGATGTTTGCGTCAGGTGTTTTCTGTCCATCTGCTGCTGATGTGTGTCTTGGTGAGTGGAAGTGTTTTGTGTACTAGGATGTGTTTGGTAAATTAAGAATTGAAAGAAGGATAAACTTGTTAGAGTATATTTTGTTAGGGCTACAGAGATGATGAGGGACCTGGAGCATCTCTCTGATGAGGAAAGGCTGAGGGACTTGGGTCTTTTGAGTCTGGAGAAGAGAAGGCTGAGGGGGGATCTGATCAATGCCTATAAATACTTCAAGGGTGGGTGTCAGGAGGATGGGGCCAGGCTTTTTTCAATGTGCCCAGGGACAGGACAAGAGGGAACGGGCACAAACTTGACCAGAAGAAGTTCCACCTGAACATGAGGAGGAACTTCTTTGCTGTGAGGGTGGCAGAGCCCTGGCAGAGGCTGCCCAGAGAGGTGGTGGAGTCTCCTTCTCTGGAGACATTCAAACCCCACCTGGACACGTTCCTGTGGGACCTGCTCTGTGTGGCCCTGCTTTGGCAGGGGGTTGGCCTAGATGATCTCCAGAGGTCCCTTCCAACCCCATGTGATTCTGGGGTTTTTTTTTTTAGTCAGGGAAAAAAAAAAAAGGAACAGACCCACTGCTTCTCTAGCAGCATCTTACTGTGGTTGGAAATACAGTTTTGTTGGCACAGAGTCTTTGTGTAGTTTGGATCAATCACATTTGACAGTTCCAAGTCAGAGCACAGGTACATGCTGCAGAACAGCACAGAGGAACGCTCTGTGCAAACAAGAATTTGGAAAAAAAATTGAGAAACTTATATCAGGAAGCTTGCTGTGCTAGACAAATCTCATCTACTGCACTCATTGCCAGAACAAACCAAGAAAAGAGCCCTCACAAACCTTCTTGCAATGACAAGTGAATCACCAGGCTGAAGAATGGTCCTACTGGCAAAACAGGGGGAAGCTTCCATCCTTGGAAGAGAGGGGCTTGCTGGAATGCCACCAAGTGACACCCAGCAGGGAAAAGAGGAACAAAGGAGAGCAAGGGATGCATAGAGACATAATCAGGCAATGTATACACAGGAGCCAAGGGCAGCTGCAGCAGTGCTGGTGTAGTACCTGCATGCTTGAAGCTGGGAAGAAAAGAATATAGCTGTGATGTTTGCTTTGCTCTAGAAGGACCTTTCTTCCCTTCAATGCCTGCTCCGTCCTCAGTGTGATCACCCGATGAATAACAGGAGTTAATATAAGCATGTAAGGGCAGTAGAAGAGCAGTAGGAGAGAGACAGCTGGCTACAGTGCTCTCCTGACATGGGAGAGAACCATCCTTACCTAAATAAATGTAGCAGAATACCCCCTGCCATTGCAGGTGAAAATGAACTGCCCTTTTGTATTAACTTTCTGCAATTTTCATCCATTGTATAAGGGATTATTTGGCCTTTTTGGTGCCCTCTGACCACATGAGATTTTTTGCTAACCCATTTCCTACTCCCAAGAATTACAGGTAGTAAGATGAGGTGCTTTTACTAGCCAGTAATTTTTCAAACCTGACCCCTGTGGAAGCTGAAGGGAAGTGGAATGGAAGAATAGCACACTCAAACACTTACTCAGTTTGGCTGCAATAGGCGTAGCTGACCTGTTGAAACCATTCATGTGTCACGTGGATGTTTTCTATCCTGCATGCTTGAGGATACACATGGAGGATACTTCTTTGAGTTAATGTTGTAGGTGCCTGAACGGAAACTCTCTCTGAATACATTTCTTCAGATATTCATAGAATCACAGAATGGTCAGAGTTGGAATGGACCTTAAAGATCATCCAGTCCCAACCCCCTGCCCTGGGCAGGGACACCTCCCACCAGACCAGGTTGCTCCAAGCCCCATCCAGCCTGGCCTTGAACCCCTCCAGGGATGGGGCAGCCACAGCTTCTCTGGGCAACCTCTTCCAGGCTCTCACCACCCTCACAGCAAAGAAGTTCTTTCTGGGATCTCATCTAAATCTCTCCTCTTTCAATTTAAAACCATTACCCCTCGTCCTGTCACTCCACTCCCTGATAAAGAGTCCCTCCCCAGTACCTAGTGTTTGATAAAATAATGTTACTCAGAGCTGGCATCTTTTTTCTGCAGGTGACATGTAATGGTAGCACTGTCTCAAGTTGCTGAAAGCCACAGTGTAGCCAGGTGTCCTGCCAGCTTCCCTTGGCCTGTCAGTCCATCTCACTGGGACTGGAGTCACCCTTCTGTCCCCTAGCCCTGGGACATTTGTTAGCACAGATGAGAAACCTACTTTATCTTTTAGTTTTCCTGTTAACATGGCCAAAACTTTCTATTTTGGGAGTGGAAGTGGAGTCTAATTGCCTTGGGCTTTATTTATTTATTTTTCTTGTCCTGAATCTGAACTTTATTCGTATCTTCAGGACTGAAAGCTTCTGTTATGCAGTAACAGGTATGAGTGTGCAGCCACTGTGCTTATGGATTCACTTGTAGCATCTGTGTTTCTAGACGATCCTAAATTCTGATGACATGCTGTTCCTTCACTTCTAAGTTGAAGGTGAACCCATATATACCAATTCCTAGAAAATTCCCTTCTCTTCAGGCAATATGAAAATCTAAGCAAAAAATGTGCTGCAGACCTGTTACTGTTTTGGTACTTAGCAAGAGAAGTGCAGGTAACTGCCACCATAGAAACACTATGGATTCTGACCGAAATAAATATTTTGGGTGCTCTAAGAGGAAAAAATTCGATTTCCTAGAAGTTCTTCCTGTTGCAGAATGTTTTCAGATCGGCTCCCAAGTCTGTCAGAGACCATCTGTGCAACAGAGCAACACCCTCATTCCTACAGGGAGTGTTTTTCCCCAGCCTGGTGTGTAATCCCTTTCTGCAATTCCAGATAAATGGGGAGGTAAAGAATCCCTCACTTGCTGGGTTGGGTTTAAATCACAGGATGTAGTCCAGCTCATAAGGAACCTGGCATAAATAGGAGCTGGAAGAGAAGAGCGGAATAAAAGGTCTCATAAACCTGGGATGCTGTCCTGTTTGTGGGAAATTAATTTGTGGTGATGAAAGCAGTTGGGAGGACCTAGGCTTTTCTACCCCCTCTGCTTCCTGTCTCCCAGTCATTAATTTGTTCTGCTCATCTCTTCCATGTTCCTTATGTTTCCTTTGAAGCGAACTTCTGTCCTAGATCACAGATTGTGTCAAAGATAACCTTTGTTTTGATGTGGTTCCCAGGCTGCCATCTCACCAAAGCAGGTGTTTTTTTTTTTTTAACATTTTAGATTGGAAATCTGCCAGTTCTGTGCCAGCACTCTTCACTCTCTTTTTCCTTTCAGTTCTAAGGCTTTCTACCAATGCTGGACAATGGAAAGAACCTGCAAGCAAGGTGACCCATGCGCTAGTCAACATTAGGTAAGGAGTAGAAGTTAATAACCACTTTAGAGATTCTTGTGTCCTGTGTGACTGCATTCTTATCGTGACACTTTCACATTTGTTGTATTGAATTTTATTTTGAATTTGTTCTCTTTGTTGGGCTAAATTGCTGCTCTAAACAGGGCCCACTGGGATAAAGAGAGGATCACCAGGGTTTGATTGTCCGCTTTCTAATAATTCTCTCGGCTCTTCTGTAGACTGAGTGCTTTCAAAGCATGGCACAAGCTGTAATGAATTAATCCTCACAGCATTCTTGGGAGAAGTTATACAGTAGGGAACAATGCTGTGCTGGCAGAGCAATTGTGGACCTAATGGATTTCTGTTGCGTGATTCTATTGTAATTCCATGAAGCTATGAAGGGGGCTATAAGCCAGCTGTAATAAGCAGATTCGAAGCCTCTTTTAACACTGCAAGATTTTTTTGTGTGTGTTTAAAACTGATTATTTAAGGACATTTCAGTATTCTCTTAAACCTCCTCCTCCTGTTCAAGGGCAGATGTTATGTTCTAATTGTAAGGCTAAGGAATATCTGGGGGTGTTTTTGTGCTGTATTCCTTCACGACATCAATAATTCCTTTTTCTGGCTCCCGAAGCAGTTAGTACTGACCAAGCTGGGTACTGGGCAAGAGGCTCATGGATCTCATTGACTGGAAAATGGAAGAATGCTGAGAGAGAGAATTTACTGTTTAGCTCTGGCTTGTAAACAAACCATAAAAGATATGAGTATTTATACTGAAAAAATATCTGCCTGTCACCTCTGCAGTCACCCCAGACACTTGGTGTCTATGCAACAGCAAGTAGCTCAGTACTGCTACGTTACTGGTACTTGTCATTTTCCCCACTACAAAACAGATTGTAGGACAAACTCTCTGAGGGCATCTTTCAAGTCAATATACATCTTACGTGTCTATAAACCACCTTAAAGGTTCCCCTTGTAAGTCTGTAAGCTTAATAACATCACGTATGGTTCCAGAAGATTTATTTTGCTACTATCCTTATTTTTAGGTTTTGTAAACAGACATAAATGAACGCTTGTGGGCAGATAATGCACAGAGTGAAGTGGCAGAACACATAACTGTTGGTAAATTAATGTCATTTAATGTGAGACAAAGCATCTACCCTGGGAATTCTCTGTATACCCTGGGAAAGAAGTCTAAACGGGGAAGAGATTTAAAAAGCAAGTGGTCACAGAGGGTTTGTTCTTGCCTCTGGTTTGTGCAACCAAGATTTTACGTTGGCTCATTTCCTGTTGGCTTCACAGCTGCTTTGGTAAAGATCAGCATGGAACTGAGACAAGATGCAGCCATAAAACTGGCACCATGAAACCCTTCCCTGGACAGCCTGTATCAGACATTTTCAGTGCATGGTGCTGTCTGGAACCAGTGAAACCTCTGATGTGTTTCTCTTCCAGACATTTGGTACCTTTCTCCTGCTCCACACAACTGGACGTGTATGTTGGAATTCCATGTGGTCTTTCACTAGCTTTAGAAGTTTTCATTAAAAATTTTCTGTCCTGGTCTGTTGACTGATCCCACTTCTGCAGCAAGGTCTTTTAGGAAGAGCCTTAATACCAGGGCCACGTGTTTTCTTCTGATGTTGGACCAAGTGTGCAAACCAGAGCCTTGTGCACACGTGTTGCGGAGTCATGGAGATGTTGCAAGAACAAATCGCCAGAGAGGGGATGCTTGAGGAGAATAAATAGTTTAGGGCTGTCAGGCTGATGGCTTTATTAGAGAAACACAGTATGTTGATGAATGACAATATTTTTATAAGATAAAATTCTCTTATGCATTGATAAGGATGTGCGGGTTTGAACCTGGCTTAGCTCGTTGCCTAGATTGTCTGTTTGTTTATGCCCCTTTGGTTCCCCTTTAGAGTGGTCTTAGTGTACTGGTTCTTACTTGGATGCTTTTGCCATGAAAGGAATGAATTTAGAGAAATGCACCTCACATGGGATTTTTCCCTCAGCTTGTTCCATCATTCTGGAAAGCTTTTATGACCAGCGATTACCTGCTTTTTGCTGTCACAGTGTAGTGCAAAGTCACGCTTTGGTTTATATCTTCATCTCGTTACAACAGCTATTTAAAATAAATAGATAAAAATTGTCATTTTCTTATCCTGAAGTTTTGGTGGGAAAGATTACGAATGTAAAAATGTATGTGTGTGTGTGTGCACGTGGTGGGCTTTAACAAGTGTCTTAAACCCTAGTGTACAATCTTAGGTGTATTCCTGCCAGGAGAGGACGGGTGAGTTGTTGACAACTTTTCAAGGCTGCAGTGCATTTCTGTTACAGGAGTGACTGCTGGGGAGACACATCAATCCTGCTTGTACCCCACGGTGCTGCAATGGGGAAGTCATCTTAGAATCATCGAATCACAGAATTGTCTGGGTTGGAAGGGACCTTTCAGATCATCCAGTCCAACCACCAACCCAACTCTGATAAAACCATCACTACCCCATGGCTCTAAGCACTATGGCAACCCGGCTTTGAAATCCCTCCAGGGATGGGGCCTCAACCCCTTCCCTGGGCAGCCCATTCCAAGGCTGAAGAACCCTTCCCGTGGAAAAATTGTTCCCAATCTCCAATCTGAACCTCCCCTGGTGCAACTTGAGGCTGTTTCCTCTTGTCCCATGGCCTGTGACTTGGGAGCAGAGACCGACCCCCCCCGGCTACACCCTCCTTTCAGGGAGTTGGAGAGAGCCAGAAGGTCTCCCCTCAGCCTCCTTTTCTCCAGGCTGAACCCCCCCAGCTCCCTCAGCCTCTCCTCATCAGACTTCTTCTCCAGACCCCTCCCCAGCTCCGTTGCCCTTCTCTGGACCCGCTCCAGCCCCTCAATGTCTTTTTTTGTGGGGAGGAGCCCAAAACTGGACGCAGCCCTCGAGGTGGGGCCTCCCCAGTGCCCAGGACAGAGGGACCATCACCTCCCAATTCCTACTCCCCACGCTGTTCCTGACCCAGGCCAGGATGCTGGTGGCCTTCTTGGCCACCTGGGCACACTGCTGGCTCCTGTGCAGTCAGGATGAGTAATACCCAGAGAATCTTTGACATGTTCTTGTTTAAACAGCTGTAGCGAGAGATCCCACTTTGTGTATCCTATTATGGTATAAACAACTTTTTAGTTGGACCCTATTCTCCACTAAGCAGTCTAGTTGGGTTTTGTTGTTTCTGATTATTTGATTTTTCTAGTCTCCAGTAAAAAAGGCAGTCACAGATGTTGTTGTTGAGTATTGAGAGCCGTGGAGGCTATTCCTGCCTTCTCTCCATTCCTCTCCTTTTTAACGATTCATAATTTCTGTCCAACCTAAAGAAAATTAACATTTGAGGACGGTAGAATAATAATAGCCTTAATCTAGTTGAAATCTTACATACCATGTTGGAATGAGTGATCCCTATTGCTGTGCTATCCCATAATAGTGATTGTAACGTCTGTCTGTGGGTTTGTCTCTGTGGTTTACATAAATAATTGAGACGTGATGGACCGGGAGATATATCGCTGCAGTGCTGGTGGGGTTGAAACCAGAAGCTGCAGCATTTAGTGGTTTGAAAACTCACCTTCTCACCTAGGATGAAATAAGCACGTTTGGAGACAAGTAATTTTTTTATAAGCTAATGAGCCTCTTTAAGATAACATTGTGCAGCTTTGCATTTAATGAGAATTTTATTAACGCGGGGTTCAAAGGAGCATCTTCTGACTGCTTACTCAGTGAGGAAGGTGACAGCTGAATCCTTGTATTCTTTTAATAGACTTTCTCCTCATCAGAATTTTTTCAAGGTGAATAAATAGATTAACTCAATGATTAATAGACTGAATTTCCCTATTGTCTGAAATTCAGTTCCATCATAATTTTAAAAGTAATTTTATTTTTCTCACTGAAACACTTCTAAAAAGCAGAGAGGAAGTTTGTAGTATGGACCTAGGTGATAGGATTGTTTTTTGTTTAAGAGGTGTTTTTTTGTGCTGTTGTAGCGTACGCTGCAATCCCCGCTTGGGTGCTTTCATTCACTCTTCCATCTCGCAGCTACTTTTGTTCCACATGAGCCACCCTATGTGATATTTGTTCTTTGTGCAGGAGTTGCTGCTTCTCCCAAGGCTGCTTTTGGGGTTGTGAAGGAGAGATTGGGGATTTGGGAGAAGCACTTAAAGCTTATGGCATGGATGCGTATAAAACGGTTATGCTTGTTGCCAGCCTGGGCAGGAGCACTCTGAAGGAACGTTTACAATTTTAGTTCAGTGAAAGAAGGCCAAATTGGGCTGTACTTGTTTGTCAAAGGATACCTGGCATCCCTGCTCTGAAGCAATAGCTCATGTTAAATTACCAGCACTCCATGGAGCTGAACTTAGAATCATACAAGCACAGAATTGTCTGGGTTGGAAGGGACCTTCCAGATCATCCAGTCCAACCACCAACCTCACTGCTAAAACCATCACTAACCCATGGCTCTAAGCACTATGGCAACCCGGCTTTGAAATCCCTCCAGGGATGGGGCCTCAACCCCTGCCCTGGGCAGCCCATTCCAAGGCTGAAGAACCCTTTCCATGGAAAAATTGTTCCCAATCTCCAATCTGAACCTCCCCTGGTGCAACTTGAGGCCGTTTCCTCTTGTCCCATGGCCTGTGACTTGGGAGCAGAGACCGACCCCCCCTGGCTACACCCTCCTTTCAGGGAGTTGGAGAGAGCCAGAAGGTCTCCCCTCAGCCTCCTTTTCTCCAGGCTGAACCCCCCCAGCTCCCTCAGCCTCTCCTCATCAGACTTCTTCTCCAGACCCCTCCCCAGCTCTGTTGCCCTTCTCTGGACCCGCTCCAGCCCCTCAATGTCTTTTTTTTCTGTGGGGAGGGCCCCAAAACTGGATGCAGCCCTTGAGGTGGGGCCTCCCCAGTGCCCAGGACAGGGGGACCATCACCTCACTTATTGAAAACCTGGATAGAGGAGGAAACTCTATTCCGATATTCGTTAGAAAGCGAGTGGCTGCAAGCAGTG